GCCTTAAGATTCTTATCAGCATAAAGTATATTAGTATCATCCGCAAAGAGATAATTTTGATCTTAATGTCAGAAGAATGCACATGCAGATACCCCTTTTCCGTCATGGATGTCCAAGATCTCCTTCACTGGGGGGTCATAGACGCTTATATCTTCAAATCTTCTCCTTTAAAAAAAATAAAGAGGACGAAATTAAAATATCATATCTTGGAGCGTTACATTTTTGCAAATAGTTGATTTTCATTCATAGGAATACATCAAAACTCTCTTTTCGTGCCACATGCATGCCTCCGTATGCTCGGCCCTGGAGGTTGATGACGTTTTTTATCTTCAAAACTGTCTGAGTCTTCTTTAAAAAAAATCGGTGTTGTTTTTTTTCGAAAAATACAAGAGGAAGCGTCTTAATTTTCATGGGAAAAAAGGCCCCTTCGAATTCAAAACCTTCTTTTATCTATATATAAGTACACCTTTTTGAGGATTGTCCGAAAGCTTTGTGTGGTGTGAAACATCAAAATTTCATTGGGTTTTTCAAATCTTTCAAATCTGTATCTTTCGAAACTAGGGTTTATATAGACGATTCAAAGATCTCGAAAGATGTAAAATTTCTTTCTTTCTTTATGTCCGATCGAAGATCAGATTTTGTGCAAACTTCTAGTACTTTTGAGCCAAAATTGACCCGATTTCTAGGGTTTATTTTTATGCTTTTGTTCAGAATGGTGCAACATAATGCCATAACTTCATAGTTAGGGCAGGAAAAACAAATAGTTTCTCTTCGACATGCCGACTTACAGAGAATATTTCAGAGTTCTGTTTTGGGCTTTTGTAAACCAAGGCCGAATAGATCTCAAAATTATCACCAAGCTAATGAGGTACAAATGCAGGCTTTTTCAAAAACTGAAATGGTACTTATTAGCCAAATCGTGTTACTGATCAATTTCAACATGTTATGGGCAACGTGGAGAAAAATCATTCATTTATCCCTGACTGCCGAAAACAGAGCAAGAACGAAGAGCGAAACCTTAGCAAATTGGATTTACCGAGAGGTACCATATAACTCATATCCGTTTTGATTCGAATTTTCCTGACAATGATATAAAACTTAAGCCTTATCTAGACTCTTTAGACAGTAGAAACATTTTTTTCTCTCTTCCATGTTAAATATCATAATAGATTCGACAGGTTCTTATCTTTTTTTAAACTTGTTTTGATACAGTTTTCGCTACACACATCCAAAAAGTTAAGTGTTTCCATGTGATTAATTTTTTAACAGTCTGGCTCAATTTTTCGTTTTCCAGGGTACGCCCTGTCATTATCTCTTTTGGCGGGTTTCCCATCCAAGCACCATCAATAAAGTTATGAGCCTAAAGGTATCCGTCTACCTTTATTAACGATCGGCCAAACTTGTTTGATTTCAAAAGGAAATTTCAGATTTAGTGGAATTGAACAGTCAGTAATAATGAAGTTTGTCTTTATTGCTTTTATTACGGTCGATAAAAAGGCTATGACTACAATCGAGAATTTATAAGTAGTTTAAAATCTTATGAAGCTATTTGTTAAAAATCTAAGTTCAAGGCTCCGCCAATTAAAATAATGTAAAAGACCTTTCAATATTAAAAAGAAGTCAAAGTTCGGGATAAACAATGCAGCAGGAATTTTAAAACAAACGAAACTTTTCCTTCTGTTTCCCTTTTTCCCCTTAGCAAGGCTATCGGTCTTGCGAATTAAACCTGTGTGGAATACTTTATATGCTGAATTAGCGAGGGGGACTACTTATGCATGATGAATAAGTAGTCAGACCTTTTCCGTTCATGCCGAAGCTATAAACAGAAGAAATGCAAGAAGATAAACAAGTTGGTTCTTGGTTGCGGACTAAGATTCTGCATTAGACCAACAGGAAAAATTGAAAGGTCCTTTCTTATACTCACGGTCATATCAGTGAATTTCACTACCTCATTCTTTTCAGACCATTTTGACTTCATCAATTACCAACTATAGATGATTTGCAAATCCACTTTAAAAAAATTTACAGAAAGAATCCAGAGAGGGATGATCGACAAAATTTTTATATATCCTTTGATCTATTCTTTCGATTTTAGACCGAATTATACCAAGAAAACGGTAATGTCTTCAATGACCAAACGAAGAGTATACACCAGTATGCTTATAGGCGACAAATTCCTTTAACTAATCGCCGCTGTTTCGCACTAAAGATGCGTCAGGAATAGAGGATAGTCATGAAAAAAATTAACAACAACAACTGGGTCCTGCTTCAAGACTTCAAAGTTTAAATTTGACTAAGATACGGAAATCGGTTGAAAAAGAAAAAAATTTAAAAGGAAAGGAGAGTACCGAGAACTTCTTAAACTAGTTCGTGAGCAAGACCACAGTTGCAATCATTTCACCTCAGACACATTGTGCGCTGGCAGGGGTAAGAGGTGGAGGATAGAGGAAGGGTTAACTGATAAAATTGTCGTTCGAAAATAAAATCAGTGCTCGGTTAAATGATCAATTTGATTTCGAGATGAACTCAGTATCTCTCGGCCGTGTCGACCGTCGCAAGTTGCAGTGAACGCTGGAGATCAATAACCGTATCATTTAGCTGACGTCACTGCCTGTAATCTTACATTTTTGCCCACAGATAATTTATAACCGCTTTTAATCTTTATGCGTGAATCGTCATGCGTCTTCTTTTTTTTTGTAGAATTCTAGACCACGAGAGATAGGAAATTCATTTGAGAAGAGAAGATGTTGTTTGCTCCACCACATTTGCCCTTCAATAGCAGGATTTCTAGTCTCACATGGCTACGCTTATCTTAATATGTTATAATCTTAACTAATAAAATACTATAATCTCTAGTCTTAATTCAAGGGTCACACTAAAATTAAGGAGCGGATCAATTAACCATACACCTCTCCTTCTTTTCTACTCTTTTCGTTTGAAAAATTAAAGTCATCGCTGTCAGTAATTTTTCTCAGACCTGCCAGTGTTCGAGCAAAAGGTAACAATTTTTTAACAAAGCTAAAAAGAAATTTCTCTCTTAAAAAACAAATATTACTGATTTCGTGCTATGCTGTTGTTGTGTCTCACTATTTACTTTGGTCGCATCGTTTCATTTTAAATCTCAAGAATTTTCATGAGTTTGCCTTATAAATAAGACTTTTCATTACCTTAGCCATCCTAGAAGTAGTTTCTTTCGGAAATTATCTGTCACTTTGTCATAAAACCCAACTGGTCGAAAACGGTTTTAATCAACAAAGAGCACTTGATATTTCAGATACCGTTATGAAATCGGAAGTTGATGTGACATGAGTCTAAACAAGAGCAGCAAATCTCATAATCGCTCAAACTTTTGAAAGTACAGAGTATATTGAAAAAAATTGGCGAGGTCAACAGCCGATTTGACCACGAATCATGATGCTACAATATAAACTCACAGTGTTTCTTACTCTATGCATTTTATTTTCATTCGTTATTGAAAACGAATGTTATATCGGCATAGTAGACTTTAGCACATACAGGACTGTGACGAACTTTGCAGATGAGTGTGTCAAATGGAAGCACCTCAAACATATGCCTATGAGGCGCTTGAAAAAACTTAAAAGGGTAAGTATCGGAAGTTCTCTTGAGCAGAGGCGTAAAAAAAAGGGTAGTTTGGGTGTGATTCTGTTCAATGCAACAGTTTTGATTGTCCAATTCGAAAAACTCTTAAATTTTTTCTGATCCTTCCATCCGTTTTTGAGGTTTTACATCACTTGAAGAACTGATGGAAATCCGAATCGCCTCCATAGGAGCCCATGGGACAATTATTCTGTTTTTATGAATTAAATGAAACAAGTTTCAAAAACGATTGTGCTATAAAGTTTTCCAAAAGGTGTTAAGGAAGCTATAACATCTGCATATCCTTTAAAGACTATGAGTCAGTCGAAATAGTTTCGATCTTATTCAAATGTTGGATATCTCTTTCTTTGAAATCACAGTTCAGACTTGAGGATGAAGTTTGCTTCCAAATTAAACAGAAGTATTGCCCTTCAGAAACTGATCAGCTTACCAAGGAAGGAAATGAACAGAGAACTGTACCACTTCATTAAAGAGTCAATGAATATAATTAAAAATAATACTGAAAACAATATTTATAATGTTCCCTACTTGTATGTATTAGTCGTGATCATGGATTTTGACAAAAAAAGTTGAAGCCAAATAAAAATCACAGAAACATCTGTGAAGATCTTTCTTTCTATTTTTTTTTTTGTGGGGTGTTCGGGCAACCAGTGAGAGGAAAAGAACTTAGATAAAATAGAAAGCTGGCAAAGGATATTAGCTAGCTAAACACTTCGCCCGACTGAAACAACCGAGATGAAGGCATTCAGTTTTGTTTATCTATGTTCTGATTAACTGGGGGATAAGTTCGTTTATCATGTACACTCGCCAACCAGCAATTTCTGATGTTGGAGGAAACTGGTTTTGCTCTCCTTAAAGGAGTTGGCATTTCGAAAGCTCTGTCGAAGATTTCGAGCCTTCTTACGCCCCAGCATCTACAAAAACAGATATTTATTTGTCAGCATAATGGAGACAGGCTTCTTCACACTGTCCACTGTCATAATTGATTGGAGAGTTTACCTCCCTTTGCAAATATTTTATGCTTTACTCAAAGTTGTTAACGCTGTGTACTTAGCTTTGGTATCATAAAGTTAAGTTTCAAGCGTTGAACAGTCATTTTGGAAAATCATAAGCAAGAGTCCAGAACAGGAAAAGGGATGCATGGTAAAATCGTCTGTATTTTAGTGCTTGCTGTGGGAATTTTCCTCGCAAGCATACACATGGCAGAATCATACATCTCTGTTACAGATAAGGATGAAGAAAAATTCATACAGAGAAACTTAGGAGAAGGGAAAAGGCTACCGAGTAAAAGATTTGAGGAAATGCGCGAGAAAGAAGCGCGAAAATTCAGAAAGAATCAGGTAAAAATAGATATCTTTATTAAAAAGTGAATATTGCCTGGTCAGAGAAATTGATTCGTTTAAAGAATTTGTTTTCTCGTCGGTAGGTTTACGTAGGGCGTTTATTAGAACAAGAAACGAGAAATATGAACTATGACTTTTACCATAATAATTGAATAAAGCCTGTTGAAAATAGCCCTTTATAGTTCATAGTAGCTGCAAATATGTTTATAAATAAAACGGCTTAAGGCACACGGAAAGGGAATTAATTTTTATGTGGGCTTCAAACGTCTTTCTTAGTCTTTTCACTAGAATTACTGTTCTGGAAAAAATTCAAACGGTTATTTTTATCTACTTGTAAACACTTACCTCCATCAAGGTGCAAGGAACTGAAATTCTATGCTGTTTTAGTGAAAAGAATGATAATACTTTAGCATTAAGAATAATACTTACACTTAAATTTGTAACAGTAATTACTAAGATAATAACTACTGCAGTAATTTGGGATTCGTTTGAATCAGAAGGGAGGTCTCTAACTTGCATTATTAATTGTTATGCATATCCGGTTATAGGTGATCCGGTTATATGTGTGAGATATCCTTTTTATCAGAGGTGAGATTGATAAATTCATCGCGGGTAATAGTGCAACATTTTAATGCACCTCTTTGCTATAATCCTTTTAAACAGGGCTTTTTGCTTGATGTCTGAGTTCGTGATTGTTCCCTGAGTCAAACATTTACAAGAAGAGATAGCGACGATGGAAGATATCGCAATCAAGGACTTTGGAACTTTATTGAAATACATCCTTGGTTTATTTTATTGTTTATCAGTTTTTGACGTTATATCCAATGGCTTGAAGAAAAAATTCTTGCTTCAATAAGTCTTGTACATGGTCACTTGAAAATCATGGAATTAAAACAACTCCACGAACTGTGAAATATTGACTTTGTTTAATTATGAAACCCACTGAGCCGGTTATTTATACGAGATCTAACCTATACCACGGTCTTACCCAATCATTGGGCCTGAGACTTTCTTAAAAGAGGGTTGATTGAGTTCATTAACTATCCTTTCACTGTTAGCTTCAGCCATCTTTGCGCTGTTCACTAAAATAAATGTTCAGATAAAAGGTTCAGCAAAAGTAAGGATTGTTTAGGACGCGCTTTTTTTAAACAACAGCTAAACTTTCTCTAGATAATCAGGCCTTTGAGGCTCTCTGTCTCTTGGCATGAATCTGCATATAGGCCTTATTTCAAGCATGAGACTCGTTTTTTCTTTATGTATGAGTCCTTTCCTTAATTCATAGAAAGCCTTCTGTGGAAATTCGTATCACCTTTTGCAGTTTTTTGTTTCTGCCGTGTCGTTTTTTTAAGTTGTATCTATTTCCACACTTATGTATCAAGGAGAGACTTTTAAAAGCATCTGTGACCTTCTAAATACCAGTGAGCTTGGTGATAGACTCTAAAATCTAACTGGACCCTGCCACATCAAGGATTATAACTTAGTAAACCCATGCCGCCACTGCAACGGTCAACTTTAAAACTGAAAACCAGCACATTTTCCGAGAGAACAAGGAAATTTTACAGTTGTTCCCCACGCGTGTCTTACAGTCATGTGATTGCAATGGTACGCTTCATTCATGTTTCTCAGCTTAATTGATGTACTCTCACTTGGAAAGTGCCATAATTTTGTTAAAAATATTCTTCCTACCTTAAAATGTATAGAAATGAAACTTTTCCATTTTGGGAAAAATTTGTGAGTCAGACCTATATGCGTTAAAACCAGATGAAAGAATCCCTTTCATATATTTCAAAGGTGGAAAAGGATCAGCTTTAAGTAATATTTATTAACTCAGATATTTGGACACTGCGTAAGTTCAGTGGTATTCTGGATATCATAGCCACGTTTTACATATCTTAGAACATAACTGCCATGATCGGCGATAGAACATTTTGCAACTCAGGAACACTCTATTCTAGTCACTCTCTTTTCAACTCCTCGGCTGTGCTGTGTAAATAGCCAACTGGTTTGCCCTCTGCCAGTTGGGGTTATCAAGCACTTCATGTTTGTAATATAACATTAACTCTAAAGAGTCCCGTGGGAACGAGCAAATAAAGTATGTATGTATCTATCTATTTATTCAAAATGCGAAGAAGTCGGATCATTCTGGTGTGACCAACTAAAAAGAAACATAGATCTCAAAATTGTCTGCTAGATATGGATGAAGAACGTGCTATATATTTGTTACTCTCCCCCATTTTCACTCCTGTCCACAACTATTATATGTGCGCGTGGTAACTGTGGTATAATTAAGTCGGGAAACGTGAGGAAAAGCATCATTCATTATACATTGAATAAGCTTGGGAGTTAGGTCTGCTGCTCATGACACACATCATATCCTGATCGTGGACAGTCGCCATACAAGATTTAAGTTTCCATTTGGAACTCATCACCGCTCACAAATGTTATGCTGAGTTGAGGTGTGGCGCAATAAGAAACTGTAAACACATCTTTCCATTTAAAAAAACTCTAACTAAAACGGAGAAAAGATCATTTTAATCGAAATATTTCTCGGCGTTGCGGTTCTGATTGCTTAACATCTCTATCGATAACTCAAAGAAACAAATTCTAGTTAAATACGCTTGCGAAATTGAATGGCTCCTTAGAGCTCAGAACAGGTGACCATATGTCAATATTTGGTTAAGTAAAGAGTTAAAGGATGTATCATCAGTTAAAAGAAAATACTAATACTCAAACAATCAAATTGCGGTGTTTTTCATTACATCTTCCTTCGACAGGTTCAGGAGTGTGATTGGCCTTAAGCAAATCTGAAAATTTGTGAACTTGAGAATGGTACTCTCACGTGGGCACGCATGAATTAAATATAGAGTTAACCAATATATCATTGGTAGACTACCGATAACGGAGTCATCTGAAGGGCAAATCAAAACCTCTGATATTACACTTTCCAGGCTGTTTGTTCCATTAAAAATAACATTTCTCCTACATCTAGCATGAGCTTATTATTAAGAGAGTGAGGTCAGACTAATTGCTTTTTCCATTGTGGTTCTACTCTCTCAAGCCAAGAAGGATGACTCGAAAGCTTACTGCTTGTGCTATGGGTTTCGTTTTCATATCATCTATAATAGTACAGAATTCAGCTTATTTAACAATCATAGAGAGAGGACTTCGCGCATGTAAAAGCAGTGCTAATTCAAACGAAGATGACAGCAGAGTTCGAAGATGGGGATGGTGGCCCCCTGTAATAACTCAGGTTTGAAAAGTTTCTAGTTACCCTTTCCTTCGACAGTTCCAATGGACTTTAATGTAGCGAGGCTCACACTTCAATTTTGTGTAAGCGTCCTTTACGGAAGTTTCGAACATCTCTAATTTCGTCATTTTTAGGATTCTAAACCCTACATGGGAAGAAGATGTACATTGCATGATTAATTCTTCACCGACAATTATCCTCGTTTCAAAGAAGTACTGAAATACGACACTCTTAATACCACTAAGCCTGCTTTATTCGTGGACTTATCAATGGCAGATGTAAGGGATGGGCCCGGGGGGCCCGCTCCCCTTCCCCCACCTTATTTTGGGTGAAAAAAAAAAAAAAAGAATCGCAGAGGGAAGAAAAGCCGGCGGGGCAAGTGACAAAAAACCAGGTCCCCCCCTTAGCTCAAAGTCTGGATCCGCCACTGCTCATGTATGGCAATATGTTGATTTTTCTTATTGTGTTCGTGAAGATTAATCATTTATTAAGGATTTAGTGCAACTTACAAAAATGCACAATAAAAAATCCAAAGTTATCCATTTTGGAATCGATTTTTCCTATTGATAAAGCTTGCCATGCAGGTGCAAATCTGAAATGTTGAATCTTCATAGTCATCTAGGTGATTTGGTCTTTATAGTAAAGTGAATTTAAAATAGTTCCTAAGCTATAATCAAGCTTTAGAGTGTAAGGGAAAAGTTACTCCTATTTCTTTTCTTTTTCCAGTATTGAAGTTAAGCAATGGTTAGAGATTTTGCAATTAGCAATTATTTGACCAGGCTTTTTTCGACAAACTCTCTGACAAGACCAATATTGCTCATTTTCCAAAGATCTTGGACTGTCAGTGACTAAGTTTTACAGTTCTGAGAGAGAGCGGGAACCTTATAGTATGAAGTCTTTCGAACTTTATGACTTATTCCGGCTGTCATTTTTTTTTTGCCCCATTATGTGTTATCGTGGTATAGCATATTAACCAAGACAATACCCTCTTAATACTGACTTTCCTACCGAAAAAACTAATAACAGTCACTAACAAAATATGATTTTGTTGCATCCTCTTGCACTTATCCAACTTCTTTCAGCCTGTATTTGTATTGAATCTGACGAACAAATTTTTTTTGTTAAATCTCTTGTAAACATGCATCATTTTTTTCTGTTTTTCTCTCATCAGCGAGATTGTGACATATACCGAAATATTCTCTGTAATAGTAAAATATTTCAAGGTAATCTTGGGAAGGTTCCCTCAAATCCTACTTCTTCTCCATCTTCACAACCACCTGTTGGCCGTCTTCCGAGAAAGCGTCGTTCAAGTTCCTCGATCAGGAAGGACTTCGAGGCCATCAATATGGTAGAAAACAATTGGGCAGTTCCCCAAAAAGACGACTGAGTGCATAATAAACAGGATTTGACTTAAAATGACGATGTTGACAAATGCTTCCATGAACGCACAGATATGTTTAGAACGTTTAATGTATTATTCAGTACTTTGACTTGGCTGCCTTACTCTTGCGTTACCTTCAGAATGTGACATGTACACTGATTGCTTTAAAATCTCGACCTAAAAATAAAATAAATAATAAAAGAAACAAACGAAAGAATGGTTTGCCTAACGATTATTCTGGTAGAACTGGGAACGAAAGACCAGGGGAACCGTTTTTTGCAAGGCCCGAATAATTACTCGTCCTGAAAGCTGACTATTGTTTGTGTTGACATCAAGAGAATATCAACAGTTACCTCTACCGAGAGTCAAGATCGACATATCGTTAGCTCTACAATTATTCCAATGAAGATAACTGGAATTCATACAGGTGTACCAATTTTGGAGCTATGAATCACCGCACTCCTCCCTAGATCTAGATCAGTTTTATAATATCCTTGCGTGCCCGCAAAACTATCAAGACTCGCGAGTAACGTGTCCCGGGTTGCTCGTGGTGGGCGTAACGCACTATTCACATTGCCCCCTCCACTTGCAATTATCGCTGGAACAAACACATCACGTGCATACATCTTATATGGGAAGTGTAGCTATAGAAACTATATAAGCTCTGACAAGTTCGTAATTAGGGACCTTTAGCAAACGACGACGGCGACAGCAACGAGAACGTGGCAAAACAACAGATCTAATGAACAGAACTATAGCTCAGCACGTGCGTTTTGAAACCGTGTACATTTCTAAGCCGTCTTTCTTAGCCGTCATGGAGGTCACAAATTACCGAGCAGACAAAATTAGAAGCTCACTAGTTTTAATTAAATATCATATGCATATAGTACGATTGCATTCTGAGTAAAAAACTCTGTCAGCTCTGAGAGGAAAATTCTTCAAAAAATCAGAAAAAGTGAAAAAAAAAATGAGCTGTATTTGAAGATGTTAGTTTGCTTATTTAAAAAAAAAAAATGTCAAAAAAAATTTCATTTTTCCTTAAAAGCTGGTAGCGTTATCCGATGTCTAGAAAACAGTCTTGATCGACTCAGCATTAAAGGCGCTGGTCTACAAGACACCTTGCAAGTGCGCTGAGATGGAGGAAAATTATCTGCAGCTGTTCTAATGAGAAAAGCTATAGCTCAGCTTAATGTAGAGAGCAGCGTTGAGTTCCAAATCAGTGGAAACTTAAATAATTTGCCGTCGTGTTTCCTTTCTCAGACCTCGCAAATTTTGGTGATTTAACGTTGCTGTTTTGCAGAGGACGACTAAGAAATGTACACAGTTTCAAAACGCACATGCTGAGCTTGCAAGTGCGTCTAGGTGGAAGGAAAATTATTTCCAAAAGACGAGCTACAGCGTGGCAATGTTTCTGATATTGATGGCAATCCCCTTCACTTTGATGTCAATGTTTTTTTCCATCATAGCGCAATCGTTTATATTCTAAATTTTACAACCTTTTTCAAGATCATAATAATAGCGAAATTTATTAAATTTGTTTTCTACGCGTTTTCGTGAAAAAACAGTTACAATTCCATCGAATTAACTCACAAATTGAAAAGCCTTATTTCCTCATGGATAATTTAAGATTCTGAGTCTAGAAACCAAATATTTTCAGAAGCTTTTGAAAGAGTAATGTGTTTCATTACCGGCTCTCAAACAAACAAACATAATTTTTGCGTTGAAAGGGTAGAGACAAGTGAACAGACTTTGTCGGTTCGCGGATGGAACTTCGTCGTTCAATCCATTAAACCTAAACCAAATTCCCATTTTGACCGAGCACCCGCGCTAAACATTTTAGTTATATTTCTGTAATTACTTAAGTTAAAGCGCGAACATTTTTCTTCGATAGTAATAATTTCTGACATATTGGTCTTTTTTATGGTAGTCAGTAAAAAACCATTGGTCGCTAATGCGATCCGAGTCTAAACGACGTAGTTATTTGGGGCACCTGCATCCGGCGAGAGGAGTACAGCTGTTCCCCGTTATTAGGAAAACACGCTACCCTATATTTATTTATTCGAATTTAATTTTTCTTTTCCTTTCTATGAGCTTTTGCTTGGCTAATTTCCTTGACAGTGTCGGAAATGTGCCGAAAGTCCATTTGGGGGACGTAGAGTACCGATACAATTAGAGACCCTTTAAATCTACTTTTGTATCATCTGCACGTAGCACTTTTAAGTAAAATTGCAATATAGGTAAAATTTGGATCAAATTTGGATCCAAGGCAGATAAAAGCTGTTTGAAAAGATGTCAGTTTGCCACATTATTTGCCGTTCCCTTTCTCTTGTCCGGCAGCAACTACCGCCAGCTTGCTAACTTTCACATTCTTGGTTGTTTTGTAAAAGAACAGTTTAACAGGATTATGTTACTAACATTTTGCTTAAGTAAGAAAAACTTGGCTATAAAATTGTCTCTATTATAAAAATGCAACATACTTCATGGATATAAGATAAAACTTACATTCGCAGTCACTCTTATTGCTTATCGCCTTTCAATGCATTCGCTCTTTAAGAACCATTATAATGTATGATAAGTTTAACAGAGTGACATGGAGTAAAAAAATCAATTTCACAATTTTTAAGGCGAAATAACCTCAGATACAAAATAGGAGAGGTTTTTTGGTTTTCGTTTTGTTTTGTTCTGTTTTGTTTTGTTTTTTATATTTGGTCCTAAATCTCTCCCAGGATTGTTGCTTGCTTTTCATTTTGAAGCCTCAGGAAAATGAAGCAATTTCGTGCTTGTATCTTGAGAAATGGCAAAAATTGTAGATAATGTCTTCACAACTTGAAATGCAAATATTTAACCTCCCATCCATTAGTTTAAGATCCGATGGGACTCTTTAACAGATGCATTGTCTGTGCCCCGAATCAAGCCAATAAAACGGGCTCGATCTTCTGGTTCAATGAGTGGGATCGATGAACAACCATGTACAGTAGATTGAGCACGATACTGTTAGTGTTGGGTCTTGTAATCACCTTCCAGTGCCTCGCATATACCGAGGCATTAACTTCTAAATGGCCGCTTCGTAGACGTAAAGCTGGAAAAAAGAGTTTGAGAAACAAGCTGGTATGATTTCTTAAATTAATGACTAAACAAAAAAAAAAAATTTAAAAAACCTTTCATTTAGAATGCCTTTTTATTCAGCCTTTGTCACAAAGAGATTTATTCATCAAGTTGAACTTGAAAAACCCAAAATGTTCAAGACGAAAAAACGGCAGTCAAGACTTACAAAACTTCTATAACAAAAATGATAGCAAGGTAATTTAACGCTTATCATGGAGAATTTAAAACAGAAAATCGGAGCTGAAATTCAAACGATGTACCAAGTGTTGCAAGATACGTATCAAGTATTACAAGATTAATAATAATTACTTTATCAGAGCCGCAGAACGTACGAGAAACACTTTTTAATGCTCCAATTAGGAATAAAAGTCATTCAAACCAAAGCAATGTATTGATTGATATTGGAAAACGTAACAGCACTCGGACAAAAAAAACGAAAAAAAGAAAACATTCTTTTAACAGCTAGACGGAATGGCTTTTTACAGTCGAAACTGTATGAGGCGGGGAATACAGGTTGACCGCGAAATGTAGATTCCAAATATTAGATTTATTATAAAAACTGATTAACAAAACTCTATGCCATAATTGACCATTTAATGAAAAGAATCTTGCTCGACAACAGAGAAAAATGGATTTAAAATTACTTCAAAATTTTTTTTGAAGTGGTTCCGCTTTCATCTACCGTCTATACAGGTTGAGAGCACAAAAAAAACCCCGGCTTTTGGGACTCTGGACTTTGACGACCGGCCACTATATACAGGTTGACCATTAAATACCGTACTGCTTAATGCAGGTTTCTGTACAAGAAACAGAACTGAACTGACGAAATATGGTAGATTTCTATTATAGTTCTGTAGGGATAATTAGCTGTATTCTTTCAGGTAATTAGGAATTTTAATTGGGTGGTGATAAGCGGTAGGACCATTTTAATTCTTTTTCAATGGATGGAATATAATATTTTTGCTGTAGACTGATAATTATTTTATTTGTTTTCTTAATTCAAAGGAGGCCAAAGATGAAGAAGCGGGCCGAGCCGGGTTATATATAGGTCGAAGACTTTGTCGTGATCCTGAAGCTTTCGAATGTGAGAGTGATGGCTAGTTCCTCTATACAAGAACACATAGAACTATCATGAACTTCAAATGAAGTTCAGTTGTTTTTGGTAAAACGCCTTTGACTTAAAGTAAACTGCGTTCACAGTTAGATCTGTCAAAAATTGACATCGTGTAAGCAAATAAAATATATGTGCATGTAATTTGGCTCGCACTTAATTTTCAATGTAGTTAACCAATCACTTGCCCTTTGTCGCTTTTTCCTTGTTATATCTGAATATTTTTTTTTCTTGTATTTCCACTGGATGAAAGCTTACGATGACTACAAAGCATATTTTTACTGGAGCGTTACCTAGTCAAAAGAAATAACTGTAAAGCAACTATCTAACAGTTTTTTTTATCAGGGAGAAAGCAAGGAGAAGGGTTTGGGATAAAAAAGAGGAATGCTTCTCATGAACTTGAAGTTGAAAGCGTGTTCATTATTACGGTGCTGGCGCTAAGACGTATTCCTTCCTTTTTGGTTCAACCCATTAAACTTCAACCAAATTTCCCTTCTGACCGAGCACCTGAGCTAGCCCGATAAAAGTCGAGACGCCGTAGTTTTTTGGGGCACCTGCATCCGGCAAGTAGAGTGCAGCTCTTCCCGTTATTAAGAAAAGATGCTACCTTACATTTATTCATTTGAACTCAAATCTAGTTTTTTCTTTTCCGCTCTATGAGCTTTAGCGAGAGTGTTTTCCTTGACAGTTTCGGAAATTGGTTTTGTTTTGTTTTGTTTTTTTTTTTATATTTGGCCCTAAATCTCTGCCAGCATTGTAGCTTGCTTTTCATTACTTCGTGGATGTATCTTGAGTACGTTATAGAACAGATTTTACGGTATTCTCTGCAATTTATTTTTCTCACGTTCTCTGACAGCGAACACCTGTAGTAATACTTCAGTTAGGAAAAAAAGTCATTCAAATAAAAGCAGTGTATTGATTGTTATTAAAAAAGTAACAGTACTCGGACAAAAAAAAAAAAGAAAAAAAGAAAACATTCTTTTAACAGC